GATATATTTATGTTTAATGTAGTTATATGTTGTAAGTAAAAAAAAAATTATAATATAACACAAGTAAGTCGCACAATGAATATATTTTTATATAAGGTATTTAAATTTTCAACTATTTTTTCTCATCAATTTTAGATTTTAAGAAAAAAATTAGCAAGCACTCATGTAATACACGGGCGTTGCACTAGTCATTCTTATATATCACTTCAACTTTAATTTATTGTTCATTCACTCACATAATTTTAACGGTAGTGCCCCATGCAGTTGTTTACCACAAACTTCACACACAACCACATCGTGTGTGTGTGTGTGTGTGTGATGTGAGTGAATATGTGACCAAAACCTCATAGAGGCGGTACCCATGGGATAGGATAAAATCTACCAATTTTAATTAACCCCAACCACGCGACAGCCAAACCTCTGTTGTCGGATCTCTGAGGTTCTTGGGAAAGGCGCTCGTACTGAGGGGAGGGACAGAGCTCTGGTTGCTGCAGCTTGGCTGTCGCGTGGTTGGGGTTAAGGGCACGATTTCCCTTGCGCGTGCTCGTCTGCCTAGTGGTGTTAGGCGATGGTAGACCAGGTTCTTTTGAGCTCTTCGAGTTCGGGTGGGGCCTGTGCGAGGGTCGGTCGTGGTTCTTTCGGTTGATGATGGATCGATTATGGGATCGGTTCAGGGCTCGGTGTCTTCTACTGTATAGGCAGTAGGCAGTTTCGGTAGCAGATTCTCGGGCTGGGATCTTTCTTGTGCCTATCGTCCACTGCTGGTTGGGTTTGTCTGCTCGCTGGGGGAGGGCTCTATTTTTATTTAGGTTGTTTTCCTGTTTTTGTGTTTGTTTTGTTTGTGATTGTTTAGTGTTTGTGATTGTGTTTTAGGTTTGGGCCGTTGGCCTCTGTGCACCCGGGTGTCAAATTTATTACGTACCCTGTGGGGGTCCGACACTCTGGTATTACCCTGTGGGGGTCTTGTTTAGTTGTTGTAGTTGTTTTAGTCGTTGTTTTATTACCCTGTGGGGGTCTTGTCTAGTTGTTTAATTTAGTTGCGAGTTTTTCTTCCTAGGGTTGCTAGTCGGGGTTCTAGGCGGTCTCCTGAACTGTCCTCCCACTTTTCAGTCGTTGGCTGCTTGTATTCGCACACTCGTGCGCTTTTGATTTATAATAATATCTATCATTTCAGAAAAAAAAATAAAATAACCCTCATTATTAATAAATTTACTGATACTTTACATCAAATCAACTTTAATTATTTTTATTTTAAATATGATTTTAATATTCCCCTAACAACTAATCATACCACTTTATTCAAAATTAACAATGATTAAAAAACCAATTAAATCCATATCGAATCACACCATATTCACTCAGATTCTATTTTTGCGCGGGACAAGCTGCAATTGGATATAAAATAAGAATTTGATAAGATTTTTTAATTTTTAATAAAGTTGACTGATTATATTTAGTGAAACTTTTAGTTTGTATTTAAATAATATTTAATACATAATAATTAAAATCAATGTAATATAAAAGTAGTAATGATGTTATAGGAAGTGATAGGTACATAACAATTTCTTCTTTTTTTTTTTTTTCTT